CCCCCCAGCGTCGGCCACGCCCTTCGTGGAGGAGCCGACCAATGGGAGCGCGGTGCTGGGCGGGGAGGCGGAGCTCCGCTGCGCCGTGCGGGGGGGCGTGGCCGCGCAGTGGGCGCGGGACGGGCTCCTCCTGGGGGCCCCGCCCACCGCCACCCACCCGCGGTACCGATTGGCTGGGGACCAGAGCAGAGGTGGGCGGGGCTTAAAGGGGGCGTGGGTATAAAGGGGGGGCGTGGTTTAAAGGGGCATGGTTTGAAGGGATGGGGGCGTGGTTTAAGGGGGTGCGGGTGTGGTTTGAAGTGGTGGGCGTGGTTAAAGGAGGGGCGTGGTTTAAAGGGATGGGGGGGGTGTGGTTTAAGGGGTGGGGTTTGAAGGGTGGGCGTGGTTAGGAGGGGGCGTGGCTAGTGAGGGGCGTGGTGTTAAGGGGGCGTGGTTTGAAGGTGCGTGATTCATGTGGGCGTGGTTAGTGAGGGGCGTGGTTTAAATGGGGCGTGGGGTTAGGGGGCGTGGTTCGAGGGGTGGGCGTGGTTTGAAGGGATGGGGCGTGGTTTGAAGGTGTGGGCTTGGTTAAAGGAGGGGCGTGGCTTAAAGGGGGCGTGGGTTAAGGGGGCGTGGTTTAAAGGGATGGGGGCGTGGTTTGAAGGGGTGGGCGTGGTTTTAAGGGGTGGGTTAAGGGGGCGTGGTTTGAATGGGGGCGTGGTTTGAAGGGGTGGGCGTGGTTTGAAGGGGTGGATGTGGTTTAAAGGGGGCATGATTTAGGTGGGCGTGGTTAATGAGGGGCGTGGTTTAAAGGGGGCATGGGGTTAAGGGGGTGTGGTTCAAGGGGTGGGCGTGGTTTAAAGGGATGGGGGCGTGGTTTGAAGAGGTGGGCGTGGTTAAAGGAGGGGCGTGGTTTGAAGGGGAGGGCGTGGTTTAAAGGGAGCAGGTGTGATTTGCAGGGATGGGGTGGTTTAAATGGGTGGTGACATGGTTTAAAAGGGGTGGGCGTGGTTTAAAAGGGGTGGGCGTGGTTTAAAGGGGGCGTGGTTTAAAGGGGCGTGGTCTCTAGGGCAGTACCACCTCCGCATCGAGGGGGTGGAGCTTGAGGATGACGCCACCTTCGAGTGCCAGGCGGGGGGAGGGGAGGGCAGCGGCCCCCCCCGCGCGTCCCGGAGCGCCCGGCTGAGGGTGATGGGTGAGGGGGGCTCTATGGGGCTCTATAGGGCTCTATGGGGCTCTATGGGGCTCTATGGGGCTCTATGGGGGATCTATGGGGCTCTATGGGGCTCTATGGGGCTCTATTGGTCTCCCCCCCCCACCAGTGCCCCCGGGGCCTCCGGCGCTGGAGCTGCCGCCGGGGGCGGAGCTGCCGTGGGTGGGCGGGGCCGAGGTGCACGTGACCTGCCACGCCCACGACGCACGCCCCGCCCCGCGCCTCGTTCTCACGCTCGGTGACGTCAACGCGGGGGGGGGAGGTTGGGGTCATTTGGGGTCATTTGGGGGGAGGGGGGTGAATTTTGGTCTGGTTTGGGTCATTTCGGGGGGATTTTGGGGTGGTTTTGAGGTGTTTTGGGTGATTTTGGGTGATTTTTTGTGCTTTGGGGTGATTTGGGGGTGTTTTGGGTGTTTTTTGGTGTTTTGGGGTGTTTCGGGTGATTTTGGGGTGGTTTTGAGGTGTTTTGGGGTTTTTTGGGTGATTTTGGGTGATTTTTTGTGTTTTGGGGTGATTTGGGGGTGTTTCGGGTGTTTTTTGGTGTTTTGGGGTGTTTCGGGTAATTTTGGGGTGGTTTTCAGGTGTTTTGGGGTGTTTTGGGTGATTTTGGGGTGGTTTTCAGGTGTTTTGGGGTGTTTTGGGGTGATTTTTTGTGTTTTGGGGTGATTTGGGGGTGTTTCGGGTGTTTTTTGGTGTTTTGGGGTGTTTTGGATGATTTTGTGGTGGTTTTGAGGTGTTTTTGGGTGTTTTGGGGTGATTTTTTGTGCTTTGGGTTGATTTTTGGTGTTTTGGGTTGATTTTTTGTGCTTTGGGGTGATTTGGGGGTGTTTCGGGTGTTTTTTGGTGTTTTGGGTTGCTTTTTTGTGTTTTGGGCTGATTTGGGGGTGTTTCGAGTGTTTTTTGGTGTTTTGGGTTGATTTTTTGTGTTTTGGGGTGATTTGGGGGTGTTTCGGGTGTTTTTTGGTGTTTTGGGGTGATTTTTTGTGTTTTGGGGTGATTTGGGGGTGTTTCGGGTGTTTTTTGGTGTTTTGGGGTGGTTTGGGTGATTTTGGGGTGGTTTTGGGGTGTTTTGGGGTGATTTTTTGTGTTTTGGGTTGATTTGGGGGTGTTTCGGGTGTTTTTTGGTGTTTTGGGGTGTTTTGGGTGATTTTGGGGTGGTTTTCAGGTGTTTTGGGGTGTTTTGGGTGATTTTGGGGTGGTTTTGAGGTGTTTTGGGGTGTTTTGGGGTGATTTTTTGTGCTTTGGGCTGATTTGGGGGTGTTTCGGGTGTTTTTTGGTGTTTTGGGGTGATTTGGGCTGATCTTGGGCTGATTTAGGGTGATTTTGGCACAGGGGGGCAGCCACTGCCCGACGCCTCCCCCCGCATCTTCGAGGGCTCCCACCCGAAACTGAGCAGCGCCGAGGTCACCGTCAGGTGAGCGCCCCCTAGACCAGTATAAACCAGTATAGACCAGTATAGACCAGTATAAACCAGTATAGACCAGTATGGACCAGTATGGACCAGTATGGACCAGTATGGACCAGTATGGACCAGTATGGATCAGTATAAACCAGTATAGACCAGTATGGACCAGTATAGACCAGTGTAGCCCATCGAGTCCCATTGAGGCCCATTAAAGCCCGTTGACCCCCATTTACCCCCATTGACCCCCATTAACCCCCATTGACCCCCATTGACCCCCATTGACTCCATTGACCCCCATTGACCCCCATTGCCCCCCATTGACTCCATTGCCGCACATTGACCCCCATTGCCCCCCCATTGACTCCATTGCCCCACATTGACCCCCATTGCCCCCCATTGACTCCATTGCCGCACATTGACCCCCATTGCCCCCCCTTTGACTCCATTGCCCCACATTGACCCCCATTGCCCCCCATTGACTCCATTGCCCCACATTGACCCCCATTCCACCCATTGCCGCCATTGACCCACATTGACCCCCATTGCCCCCCATTGACTCCATTGCCCCACACTGACCCCCATTGCCCCCCATTGACTCCATTGCCCCACATTGACCCCCATTGCCCCCCCATTGACCCCATTGACTCCCATTGTCCCCATTGCCCCACACTGACCCCCATTGCCCCCCATTGACTCCATTGCCCCACATTGACCCCCATTGCCCCCCATTGCCCCAGGCTGACCCCACAGCGCCAGCACCATGGACAGCGCCTGCTCTGCAGCGCCTCCAATGAGGCCGGGGCCGCCCCGACCGAGGCCGCGCTCGTCCTTGATGTCCTCTGTGAGCACCCATCGACCCCCATTGACACCCATTGAGCTCCATTGACCCCCATTGAGCTCCATTGACCCCCATTGACCCCCACTGACCCCCATTGACCCCCATTGACACCCATTGAGCTCCATTGACCCCCATTGACACCCATTGAACCCCATTGAACCCCATTGAACCCTATTGAGCCCCATGGACGCCATGGACCCCCATTGACCCCCATTGACCGCATTGACCCCCATTGAACCCCATCGACACCCATCGACCCCCATTGACACCCATTGAGCTCCATTGACCCCCATTGACCCCCATTGAACCCCATTGAAGCCCATTGAACCCCATTGAACCCTATTGAGCCCCATTGACCCCCACTGACCCCCATTGACACCCATTGAACCCCATTGAACCCCATTGAACCCTATTGAGCCCCATGGACGCCATGGACCCCCATTGACCCCCATTGACCGCATTGACCCCCATTGAACCCCATCGACACCCATTGACCCCCATTGACCCCCACTGAACCCTATTGACACCCATTGATCCCCATCGACCCACCCACTGAACCCCATTGACACCCATTGAACCCCATTGAACCCCATCGACCCCCACTGAGCCCCATCGAAACCCATTGACCCCATTGACCTCCATGGACCCCATTGACCCCCATTGACCCCCATCTACCCCCATTGTCACCCATCGACACCCATCAATCCTCATTGACACCCATTGACCCCTCTTTGCCCCCCCTTGACCCCAATGGACCCCCCTTGACCCCAATGGACCCCCCGTTGACCCCCATTGAACCCCCCATTGACCCCAATGGATCCCCCCCTTCTGACCCATTGCCCCCAGTCCCCCCGGGCCCCCCCACCATCGAGGGCCTGGATTCGCCCCACGTGCGGGCGGGGGACACCCTGGAGCTGGTGTGCATCGTGCGGGGGGGGAACCCCCCCCCCAGCCTCCATTGGGACAAGGTAATGGGGGCAATGGGGGTAATGGGGCAATGGGGTAATGGGGCAATGGGGGTAATGGGGGCAATGGGGGGCAATGGGGCAACGGGGGTAATGGGGGCAATGGGGTAATGGGGCAATGGGGATAATGGGGGGCAATGGGGTAATGGGGGCAATGGGGGTAATGGGGGGCAATGGGGCAATGGGGGGCAATGGGGGTCATGGGTTAATGGGGACAATGGGGTTAATGGGGGGCAATGGGGGGCAATGGGGTAATGGGGGTAATGGGGGCAATGGGACCCAATGGGAGTCAATGGGAGCCAATGGAAGCCAATGGGTGTCAATGGGTGTCAATGGGAGCCAATGGGTGTCAATGGGTGTCAATAGGTGTGAAACGGGAGCCAACGGGTGTCAATGGGCATCAATGAGAGCCAATGGGTGTCACTGGGTGTCAATGGGAGCCAATGGGTGTCACTGGGTGTCACTGGGTGTCAATGGGATCCAATGGGTGTCAATGGGTGTCAATGGGTGTCAATGGGAGCCAATGGGTGTCAATGGGTGTCAATGGGTGTCAATGGGTGTCAATGGGTGTCAATGGGATCCAATGGGGGTCACTGGGTGTCAATGGGATCCAATGGGTGTCAATGGGTGTCAATGGGTCCAATGGGTGTCAATGGGTGTCAATGGGATCCAATGGGTGTCACTGGGCGCCGTGGGCGCCCCCTGCAGGACGGGAGGCCGCTGGCTGCGCCCTGGCTGACGCAGCGCCCCCTGGCGGTGACGCGGAGCCCCCTGGCGGTGGCCGTGAGCCGGGGGGACGACGGCGCCACCCTGCGGTGCCGCGTGCAGACACAGCGCCCCCTGGCGGCCGGGGGGAGCGCCAGCGTCACCCTGCGCGTGACCTGTGAGCCGATGGGGCTATGGGGGGCGATGGGGGGCTATGGGGGCTATGGTGGTGCTATGGGGGCTATGGGGGGAATGGGGGGAATGGGGGGCTATGGGGGGCAATGGGGGGAATGGGGGGAATGGGGGTCAATGAGGTGATGGGGGGCAATGGGGGCAATTGGGGCTATGGGGGGCGATGGGGGGCAATGGGGGCTATGGGGGGCAATGGGGGCTATGGGGGGAATGGGGGGCAATGGGGGCTATGGGGGGCGATGGGGGGAATGGGGGGAATGAAGGGAATGGGGGTCAATGAGGTGATGGGGGGCAATGGGGGCAATTGGGGCTATGGGGGGAATGGGGGGCAATGGGTCCTATGGGGGTAACGGAGGGTATGGGGGGGAATGGGGATAATGGGGGTAAACGGGGGCAATGGGGTAATGGGGAGCAATGGGGGGTATGGGGGCAATGGGGGCTATGGGGGCTATGGGGGTAATGGGGGTAAGGGGGGCTATGGGGGGTAATGGGGGCTATGGGGGGCTATGGGGGGAATGGGAGGTATGGAGGTAATGGGGACAATGGGAGGCAATGGGGGCAATGGAGAGCAATGGAGGACAAGGGGGTCTATGGGGGACAATGGGGGGCAATGGGGGTCTATGGGTCTCAATGGGTCTCAATGGCTCCCTATGGGTCCCTACGGGTCTCAATGGTTCCCTATGGGTCCCTATGGGTCCCAATGGCTCCCTATGGGTCCCTATGGGTCCCAATGGGTCCCAACGTGTCTCCATGGGTCCCAGACCCCCCCTCGGAGGTGACGCTCGTGGGGCCGCGGGGGGGCGCCGAGAACGAGTCCCTGAGCCTGACGTGCGGCAGCGCCCCCAGCAACCCCCCCGCGCGCCTGCGCTGGTGGTTGGGGGGCAGGGAGCTGCGGGCCCGCGAGAGCGGCACGGCGCCGGTGCGCCCCCTGCCGGGCGGGAGGACTGCGAACGGGGGGCCAATGGGGGTCAATGGGGCATCTATGGGGGTCAATGGGGCATCTATGGGGTCAATGGGGCATCTATGGGGTCAATGGGGTCGATGGGGTCAATGGGGTCGATGGGGGTCAATGGGGCATCTATGGGGGTCAATGGGGCATCTATGGGGTCAATGGGGTCGATGGGGGTCAATGGGGCATCTATGGGGTCAATGGGGTCGATGGGGGTCAATGGGGCATCTATGGGGCTCAATGGGGTCGATGGGGGTCAATGGGGCATCTATGGGGGTCAATGGGGTCAATGGGGGTCAATGGGGTCGATCCGGTCAATGGGGGTCAATGGGGTCGATCCAGTCAATGGGGCTCAATGGGATCAATGGGGGTCAATGGGGTCTGTGCGGTCAATGGGGTCAATGGGGGTCTATGGGGGCACCTATGGGGGTCAATGGTGTCAATGGGATCAATGGGACTCAATGGGGGTCAATGGGGTAGATGTGGTCAATGGGGGTCAGTGAGGTCAATGGGGTCGATGCAGTCAATGGGGTCAATGGGATCAATGGGGGTCAATGAGGTCAATGGGGTCAATAAGGTCAATGGGGTCAACGGGGGGTCTATGGGGGAATCTATGGGGGTCAATGGGGGTCCATGGGGTCTATGGGGGTCAATGGGAGTCAATGGGGTTCAATGGGGCTGAATTGGGTCTATGGGATCTATGGGGGTCAATGGGTGTCAATGGAGGCCTATGGGGTCTATGGGGGTCAATGGGTGTCAATGGAGGTCTATGGGGTCTATGGGGCTCAATGGAGGTCAATGGGGTTCTATGGGGCTCAATGGAGGTCAATGGGGGTCTATGGGGCTCAATGGAGGTCTATGGGGTCTATGGGGCTCAATGGAGTTCTATGGGGTCAATGGGGCTCAATGGAGGTCAATGGGGGTCTATGGGTCTCAATGGAGGTCTACGGGGTCTATGGGGCTCAATGGAGTTCTGTGGGGTCAATGGGGCTCAATGGAGGTCAATGGGGGTCAATGACCCCCCATTCCCCCCCCAGGCCCCCGGGGGGGGCACGGTGACGTCATCGAACCTGACGCTGGTGGCGCGGCGCAGCGAGCACGGGCGCCCCCTGGTGTGCGAGGCGGTGGTGCCGGGGGTGGGCGTGGCCAGGGCCAGCCTCGTTCTGAGCATCACCCGTGAGCCAATGGGGATCAAGGGCGGCAATGGGGGGCGATGGGGTGCAATGGGGATCAATGGGGTGAATGGGGAGCAATGGGGATCAATGGAGTCAATGGGGGTCAATGGGGGTCAATGGAGTGAATGGGGAGCAATGGGGAGCAATGGGGTGGGGGGGACAATGGGGATGGGGATCAATGGGGAGCAATGGGGGTCAATGGGGATCAATGGGGGTCAATGGGGGACAATGTTGGTCAATGGGGATCAATGGGGCAATGGGGAGCAATGGGGGTCAATGGGGATCAATGGGGGTCAATGGAGTTCAATGGGGCTCAATGGGGGACAATGTTGGTCAATGGGGATCAATGGGGCAATGGGGATCAATGGGGGTCAATGGGGATCAATGGGGCTCAATGGCGGTCAATGGGGATCAATGGGGCGCAATGGGACTCAATGGGGGGCAATGGGGCTCAATGGGGGTCAATGGGACTCAATGGGGATCAATGGGACTCAATGGGGGTCTATGGAGGTTAAAGGGGATCAATGTGGTCAATGAGGATCAATGGGGCGCAATGGGACTCAATGGGGGGCAATGGGGCTCAATGTGGGTCAATGGGACTCAATGGGACTCAATGGGACTCAATGGGGCTCAATGGGGCTCAATGGGGCTCAATGTGGGTCAATGGGACTCAATGGGGGTCAATGGGACTCAATGGGGATCAATGGGACTCAATGGGGGTCAATGGAGTTTAACGGGGATCAATGGGGGTCAATGAGGATCAATGGGGCCATTCCCCCCCCCAGACCCCCCCGATTCGCTGTGGGTCGAGGCCCCGCCCCCCAACGCCTCCTTCCGGGTGGGGGAGCTCGTGCGGTTGGGGTGCTACGCACGTGGGGGGCACCCCCCCCCCCGCCTCGTCTGGAGCAAGGTGGGAGCCAATGGGGGGGACTGGGTCCCCATTGCTCCTATTGATCCCTATGGGTCCCTATGGGTCCCTATGGGTCGCTATGGGTCCCTATGGGTCGCTATGGGTCGCTATGGGTCCTATGGATCCCTATGGGTGCTATGGGTCCCTGTGGGTCCCTATGGATCCAAGGGGTTGCTATGGGTCCTATGGGTCGCTATGGCTCCTATGGGTTGCTATGGGTCCTATGGATCCCTATGCGTCTCTATGGGTCCCTATGGGTCTCTACGGGTCCCAATGGGTCTCTCTATGGGTCCCTATGGGTCCCTATGTGTCCCTATCGGTCCCTATGGGTCCCAATGGGTCTCTATGTGTCCCTATGGATCCCAATGGGTCCCTATGGGTCTCTCTATGGGTCCCTATCGGTCCCTATGGGTCCCTATGGGTCCGTATGGGTCCCAATGCGTCTCTATGGGTCCCTATGGGTCTCTATGGCTCCCTATGGGTCTCTATGGGGTCTCTATGGGTCTCTATGGGTCTCTATGGGTCTCTATGGTTCCCTATGGGTCTCTATGGTTCCCTATGGGTCTCTATGGGGTCTCTATGGGTCTCTATGGGTCTCTATGGGGTCTCTATGGGTCCCTATGGGTCTCTATGGCTCCCTATGGGTCTCTATGGGTCCCTATGGGTCTCTATGGGTCCCTATGTGTCCCTATGTCCCTATGTGTCTCTATGGGTCCCAATGGGTCTCTATGGGTCCCTATGGGTCTCTATGGGTCCCTGGGTCTCTATGGGTCCCTATGGGTCCCTATGGGTCCCTATGGGTCTCTATGGGTCCCAATGGGTCTCTATGGGTCTCTATGGGTCCCTATGGGTCCCTATGGGTCCCAATGGGTCCCTATGGGTCCCTATGGGTCTCTATGGGTCCCAATGGGTCCCAATGGGTCTCTATGGGTCCCAATGGGTCCCAATGGGTCTCTATGGGTCCCTATGGGTCCCTATGGGTCCCAATGGGTCCCTATGGGTCCCAATGGGTCTCTATGGGTCCCAATGGGTCCCAATGGGTCCCAATGGGTCTCTATGGGTCCCGCAGGAGGGCCGGGCCCTCCAGGAGCCAATCCCGGGCTGGGGGCGGGGCCTGGAGCTGCGCCTGAGCCCCGGGGACAACGGCGCCGCCTTCACCTGCGCTGACACCGCCCACCAGCAGGGGGCGCCCCGCGCCGGAGCCCGGCTCCGCGTCCTCTGTGCGCCTCTGTGGCCTTCACTGGGGCTCTATGGGGATCTATGGGGTTCCTATGGGGCTCTATGGGGTCTCTATGGGGCTCTATGGGGTCTCTATGGGGCTCTATGGGGTCTCTATGGGGCTCTATGGGGTCTCTATGGGTGCTCTATGGTCTCTATGGGCCTCTGTGGGGGCTCTATGGGGCTCTATGGGGCTCTATGGGGTCTCTATGGGTGCTCTATGGTCTCTATGGGCCTCTGTGGGGGCTCTATGGGGCTCTATGGGTCTCTATGGGGTCTCTATGGGGTTCCTATGGGTCTCTATGGGGTCTCTATGGGGCTCTATGGGGTCTCTATGGGTGCTCTATGGTCTCTATGGGCCTCTGTGGGGGCTCTATGGGGTTCCTATGGGTCTCTATGGGGTTCCTATGGGTCTCTATGGGTCTCTATGGGTCCCTATGGGTCTCTATGGGTCTCTATGGGTCCCTATGGGTCTCTATGGGTCCCTATGGGTCTCTATGGGTCTCTATGGGTCCCTATGTGTCTCTATGGGTCTCTATGGGTCTCTATGGGTCCCTATGGGTCCCTCTGGGTCTCTCTCCCGCAGTCCCCCCCCAGTCCGTCTCCATCAGCGCCTCCCCCCGGGAGCCGCGCCTGGGCCAGCGCCTGCTCCTCACCTGCGTCACCGGGAGCAGCCACCCCGCCCCCACCCTCACCTGGCACCACCATGGACGCACGTGGGTGCCCCATAGAGCCCCATAGAGCCCCATAGACCCCATAGAGCCCCATAGAGCCCATAGAGCCCCATTGACCCCATAGAGCCCCATAGAGCCCCATTGACCCCCATAGAGCCCCATAGACCCCATAGAGCCCCATAGAGCCCCGTTGACCCCATAGAGCCCCATAGAGCCCCATTGAACCCACAGAGAGCCCCATAGAGCCCCATAGAGCCCCATTGAACCCACAGAGAGCCCCATAGAGCCCCATTGAGCCCCATTGAGCCCCATAGAGCCCCATTGAACCCACAGAGAGCCCCATAGAGCCCCATTGAACCCACAGAGAGCCCCATAGAGCCCCATAGAGCCCCATTGACCCCCATAGACCCCATAGCCCTCCATTGACCCCCATAGACCCCATAGCCCCCATAGACCCCCATAGCCCCCCATGGACCCCCATAGTCCCCCACAGACCCCCATAGCCTCCTAAAGACCCCCATAGCTCCCCACAGTCCCCCCTTGACTCCCATAGACCCCATAGCCCCCATACACTCTGTAGACCCCATAGCCACCCATAGACCCCATAGCCCCCCATAGATCCCCATAGTCCCCCCAGATCCCCATAGGCTTCTAAAGACCCTCATAGCCCCCCATTGACCCCCATAGACCCCCTCATTGACCCCTATTTTCCCCCCCCATTGACCACTATGGGCCCCCGTTGACCCCTATGAGCCCCCCCATTAACCCCTATGGGCCCCCCATTGACCCCTATGGGCTCCCCATTGACCCCTATGGGCCCCCCCATTGACCCCTATGAGCCCCCATTGCCCCCCATTGACCCCTATGGGCTCCCCATTGACCCCTATGAGCCCCCCCCATTGACCCCTATTTGCCCCTCCATTGACCCCTATGGGCCCCCATTGACCCCTGTGGGCCCCCCATTGACCCCTATGGCAGGGAGCCGGGGGAGCCCCTCCCCCCCAGCCCCGCCCCCCACGGGGGGGTCTCGGTGGGGTCGCGGCTCCGCCTGCAGGTGGCGCTGGAGGACCAGGGTCACGTGATCACCTGCGCGGCCGCCAGCCCCGCCCTCGGCGTCACCGTGAGAGCGGGGCACAGATTGAGCGTGAGGCGTGAGTGGGGGGGGGCAGTGGGGGTCAATGGTGGTCAATGGGGGGCGATGGGGGTCAATGGGGGTCAATGGGAGTCAATGGGGGTCAATGGGGGTCAATGGGTGTCAATGGGGGTCAATGGGTCTCAATGGGTGCCAGTGGGTCTCAATGGGTGCCAGTGGGTATCAATGGGTGTCAATGGGGGTCAATGGGGGTCAATGGGGGTCAATGGGTGTCAATGGAAATGGGGGTCAATGGGGGTCAATGGGAGTCAATGGGTGTCAATGGGGGTCAATTGGAGTCAATGAGTGTCAATAGGTGTCAATGGGTGTCCATGGGTATCAATGGGTGTCAATGGGGGTCAATGGGGGTCAATGGGTGTCAATGGGTGTCAATGGCAGTCAATGGGTATCAAACGATGTCAATGGGTGTCAATGGCTCTCAGTGGGAGTCAATGGGAGTCAATGGGTGTCAATGGGTGTCAATGGCTCTCAATGGGTATCAATGGGTGTCAATGGGTGTCAATGGAAGTCAATGGGTGTCAATGGGTATCAATGGGTATCAATGGGTGTCAATGGGAGTCAATGGGTGTCAATGGGTGTCAATGGGTACCAATGGGTGTCAATGGGTGTCAATGGGTGTCAATGGGTGTCAATGGCTCTCAATGGGTGTCAATGGATGTCAATGGGTATCAATGGGTGTCAATGGGTATTTATGGATGTCAATGGATGTCAATGGGTATCAATGGGTGTCAATGGGTATCAATGGATGTCAATGGGTGTCTATGGGTGTCAATGGCACTCAATGGATGTCAATGGATGTCAGTGGGTGTCAATGGGGGTCAATGGGTGTCAATGGGTGTCAATGGGTGCCAATGCCTCCCCGCCCCACAGACCCCCCATTGCTCCGTGCCCCCCCTGGGGGCCGGGTGCTGGCTCGGGAGCAGGGCCGGGCGCTGCTGCCCCTGCTCGGGGACGCGCACCCCCCCCCCCGCGACTGCGCCTGGAGCCGCGCCGGAGTCCGCCTGGGTGCGCTACGGGGGATAATGGGGGGTAATGGGGTTATAATGGGGTTATAATGGGGTTATAATGGGGGATAATGGGGTTATAATGGGGTTATAATGGGGTTATAATGGGGATAATGGGGTTATAATGGGGTTATAATGGGGTTATAATGGGGTTATAATGGGGTTATAATGGGGTTATAATGGGGTTATAATGGGGGCAATGGGGGATAATGGGGTTATAATGGGGTTATAATGGGGTTATAATGGGGTTATAATGGGGTTATAATGGGGTTATAATGGGGGATAATGGGGTTATAATGGGGGATAATGGGGTTATAATGGGGGATAATGGGGTTATAATGGGGTTATAATGGGGTTATAGTGGGGTTATAATGGGGATAATGGGGGATAATGGGGTTATAATGGGATATAATGGGGTGCTATGGAATCCAATGATTCCATGGGGTCCAGTGGGGTACAATGGGATCCAAGGGAGTTCAATGGGATCCAATTGGGTTCAATGGGATCCAATGGGTCTCTATGGGATCCAATGGGTCTCTATGGAATCCAATGGGTCTCGATGGGATCCAATGGGACCAATGGGGTTCAATGGGATCCAATGGGTCCCATGGGTCTCTATGAGATCCAATGGGTCTCTATGGGGTCCAGTGGGGTACAATGGGATGCAATGGGTCCCATGGGTCTCTATGGGATCCAATGGGTCTCTATGGGATCCAATGGGATCCAATGGGTGTCTCTGGGTCCCGGGTGCCCCCAGCCCCGTCTCCGCGGCACCGGCTGCTGCCGGGGGGCTCGCTGTCCATCGGGAACCTGTCCCGGAGCGACGCCGGCTCCTACCGGGTGGAGTGCGCGAACGCCGAGGGCAAGGGCAGCGCCAGCATCCTCCTCGACGTGGAATGTGAGCCCCATGGCGCCCCATAGCACCCCATGGCATCCCTATGGCACCCCATAGCACCCCTATGGCGCCCTATGGCACCCCTACGGCACCCTATAGCATCCTATAGCACCCCTATGGCACCCCTATGGTGCCCTATAGCACCCCATGGCATCCCTATGGCACCCCATAGCACCCCTATGGCGCCCTATGGCACCCCCATAGCACCCCTATGGCGCCCCATAGCACCCCATGGCATCCCTATGGCACCCCATAGCACCCCTATGGCGCCCTATAGCACCCCTATGGCGCCCTATAGCATCCTATAGCACCCCTATGGCACCCCTATGGCGCCCTATAGCACCCCTATGGCGCCCCATAGCACCCCATGGCATCCCTATGGCGCCCTATGGCACCCTATAGCATCCTATAGCACCCCTATGGCACACCTATGGTGCCCTATAGCACCCCTATGGTGCCCTATAGCACCCCATGGCGCCCTATCGCATCCTATAGCACCCCTATGGCGCCCTATAGCATCCCTATGGTGCCCTATAGCACCCTATAGCACCTCTATGGCGCCCTATAGCACCCCTAGGGCGCCCTATCGCATCCTACAGCACCCCTATGGTGTCCCTATGACACCCCAAAGCATCTCTATAGCGCCCTATGGCACGCCTATGGCACCCTATAGTACCCCTATGGCGCCCCTATGGCGCCCTATAGCATCCTATGGCATCCCTATGGCGCCCTATAGCATCCTACAGCATCCCTATGGCATCCTATAGCATCCCTATGGCGCCCTATAGCATCCCTATAGCATCCCAATGGTGCCCTATAGCATCCCTATGGCACCCCATAGCATCCCTATTGTATCCCTATGGCATCCCTGTGGCATCCTTATGGTATCCTATGGGGACCTATGCCATCCCTATATCATCCCTATAGCATCTCTATAGGACCGATAGCATCCCTATAGCACCCTATAGCACCCCATAGCACCTATACCATCCTTTAGGACCCCATAGCACCCTATAGCACCCTGACCTTGACCTTTGACCCCCACCCAGACCCCCCCTCCATCGTGCGGGCGCCCGACCCCGTGGTGGTGGACGAAGGGGGGAGCGTAGAGATGGAGTGCGAGCAGAAGCTGGACGGGAGTAGCGCCTGGTGGGATACGATTATGGAGTGCGAGGCGTGGGCTATGGGCGCCCCCTGCTGGACGGGAGTCTCCGATGGCAGCGCCTGGTGGGATACGGCTTATTATGGGATGTGGGGCGTGGGCTATGGGGCAGGGACCCAATGGGACCCGATGGGACCCAACGGGACCCAACGGAACCCAACGGGACTCAATGGGACCCAACGGGATCCAACGGGACCCAACGGAATCCAACGGGACTCAATGGGACCCAACGGGATCCAACGGGACCCAACGGGATCCAATGGGATCCAATGGGACCCAACGGGACTCAATGGGACCCAATGGGATCCAACGGGACTCAATGGGACCCAACGGGATCCAATGGGACCCAACGGGATCCAACGGGACCCAATGGGATCCAACCGGACCCAATGGGACCCAATGGGATCCAACGGGACCCAACAGGACCCAATGGGATCCAACGGGACCCAATGGGACCCAACAGGACCCAATGGGATCCAACGGGACCCAATGGGACCCAATGGGATCCAATGGGACCCAACAGGACCCAATGGGATCCAACGGGACCCAATGGGACCCTTCCATGCCCACATTCCTCCCCGCCACCAGGGGGCGCTGTCTCCGGGCTCCGTGGGGCTCCCCGTGGGGCTGGAGGCGCTCGGCGGGGTCCCCGTGGGGCGGCTGCGGGTGTCAGGCGCCCGTCGGGACATGGGCGGGGCCTACGAGTGTCACGTGGACACGGGGGTGCCGCCCCCCGCCCGCGCCGTCATCCGCCTCGTGATTCGCTGTGAGTGGGGCGGGGCCAAGGGACGGGCGGCCAATGGGGGACGAGTGATGGGGGGCATCAATGGGGGGGGGCAGCCAATGGGGTCATCAATGGAAGGGGGGCACTCAATGGGGGTCAACCAATGGGGATCGTCAATGGAGGGCACCCAATGGGGTCATCAATGGAGGGCACCCAATGGGGATCAATGGAGGGCACCCAATGGGGTTCAATGGAGGGCAACCAATGGGGATCAATGGAGGGCACCCAATGGGGGGTCAATGGAGGGCACCCAATAGGGGGTCAATGGAGGGCACCCAATGGGGGTCAATGGAGGGCACCCAATGGGGGGGTCAATGGAGGGCACCCAATGGGGGGTCAATGGAGGGCACCCAATGGGGGGTCAATGGAGGGCACCCAATGGGGGGTCAATGGAGGGCACCCAATGGGGGGTCAATGGAGGGCACCCAATGGGGGTCAATGGAGGGCACCCCCATTGCCCCCCATTCCCAGATGGGCCGGAGCTGGAGGCGGCGCCGGCGCCGGAGCCAATCCCGGTGCTGGTTCCGGATGGAGCCGATGCCGTGGCCGTGGGGTGCCGGGCGCGGGGGGTGCCCCCCGTGGAGCTGCACTGGGAGCAAGGGGGCCGCCCCATCAGCACCACGGACAGCAGGTACCTGAGGGCACCCAATGGCACCCAATGAGACCCAATGGAACCCAATGGTGCCAACGGCACCCAATGGGACCCATGGCACCCAATGGTGTCCAATGGCGCCCAATAGGACCCATGGCGCCCAATGGCGCTCAAGGGTGCTCAATGGTACCCAATGGCACCCAAAGGTACCCAATGGGACCCATGGCGCCAAATGGTGCTCAATGCTGCTCAATGGCACCCAATGGTGCTCAATGGCACCCAATGGCACCCAATGGCGTCCAATGGCACCCAATCGGCTCAATGGCACCCAATGGACCCAATGGTACCCAATGGCACCCAAGCCACCCAATGGCACCCAATCGACCCAATGGCACCCAATGGCACCCTTTGGTACCCATTGGCACCCAATCAACCCAATGGCACCCTATGGTACCCATTGGCACCCAATCAACCCAATGGTACCCAATCGACCCAATGGCACCCTATGGTACTCATTGGCACCCAATGGCACCCAATCGACCCAATGGCACCCAATGGCACCCTATGGTACCCATTGGCACCCAATCGACCCAATGGCACCCAATGGCACCCAATGGCACCCATTGGCACCCAATCGACCCAATGGCACCCAATCGACCCAATGGCACCCAATGGACCCAATGGCACCCAATGGACCCAATGGTCTCCCCCCCCTCCAGGTTCCAGCAGCTCCAATGGTCGGACCCCCCCTGGACCAGCGCCCTCCTGACCGTGGCCAACATCAGCCAGGATCGGGCCCGGCTCCGCTCCCAGGCCCTAAACTGGGCCCAGTTGTGGGCCCGGGCCCCCTCCCAGTACCTGAACTGGGACCAGGCCCATGCCGGGTACTGGGATGGCAACGGGACACTGGGAATGGTGGAGTGCGTGGGGCGGAGCCAACTGGGAACGGCGAGGAGGCGCTTCCGGCTGCGCCTGGCGGGTATGGGGGGAATGGGGGGGACTGGGGGGGAATGGGGGGGGAATGGGGGGACTGGGAGGGACTGGGGGGGAATGGGGGGAATGGGGGGGAATGGGGGGAAAAGGGAGGGAATGGGGGGAAAAGGGAGGGAATGGGGGGAACTGGGAGGGGAATGGGGGGGACTGGGGGGGGAATGGGGGGGGAATGGGGGGAAATGGGGGGGATGGGGGGGAATGTGGGGGGGAATGGGGGGGGAATGGGGGGAATGGGAGGGGAATGGGGGGGACTGGGAGGGGACTGGGAGGGGAATTGGGGGGACTGGGGGGGAATGGGGGGGAATGGGAGGGACTGGGGGGGACTGGGGGGGACTGGGAGGGGATTGGGATGGGATGGACTGGACTGGGATACCTGTCCATACTGGTCCGTACTGGTCCATACTGGTCCGTACTGGTCCATACTGGTCCGTACTGGTCCGTACTGGTCCATACTGGTCCGTACTGGTCCATACTGGTCCGTACTGGTCCTTACTGGTCCCTGTGCCCCCCAGACCGCCCGGACCCCCCCCGCTCCCTGCGCGTCTCCGGGGCCACCCCCAGCTCCCTGCGGATCTCCTGGAGCCCCGGGTTCAATGGGGGCAGCCCCCAAAGCTTCCTGCTCAGGTGGGACCCATGGGACCCATAGAGACACATAGAGACCCATAGGGACCCATAGGGACACATAGAGACACATAGGGACCCATAGGGACCCATAGGGACCCATAGAGACCCATAGGGACACATAGAGACCCATAGGGACCCATAGGGACACATAGAGACCCATAGGGACCCATAGGAACACATAGAGACCCATAGGGACCCATAGGAACACATAGAGACCCATAGGGACCCATAGGGACCCATAGGGACCCATAGGGACCCATAGGGACACATAGAGACCCATAGGGACCCATAGGGACCCATAGAGACCCATAGAGACCCATAGGGACACATAGAGACCCATAGGGACCCATAGGGACACATAGAGACCCATAGAGACCCATAGGGACACATAGAGACCCATAGAGACCCATAGAGACCCATAGGGACCCATAGAGACCCCATAGGGACCCATAGGGACACATAGAGACCCATAGGGACACATAGGGACACATAGAGACCCATAGGGACCCATAGGAACACATAGAGACCCATAGGGACCCATAGGAACACATAGAGACCCATAGGGACCCATAGGGAGCCATAGAGACCCATAGAGACCCATAGGGACCCATAGAGACCCATAGAGACCCATAGAGACCCATAGGAACCCATAGAGACCCATAGGGACCCATAGAGACCCATAGGGACCCATAGGGACCCATAGAGACCCATAGGGACCCATAGAGACCCCATAGAGCCCCACAGCACCCCATAGGGACCCATGAGTTCTCTCCCCTCCCCTCCCCCCTCCGCAGCGCTCGGGCCCCCGGGGCCCCGCCCCCTCCCTCCTACGTCATCACGTCGGCCCCCTCCCACACGCTGACGGGGCTGCGCCCGGCCACGCCCTATGACGTCACCGTGCGCGCGCGCAACGCCCGCGGCGACAGCGCCGCCGCCGTCGTCCGTGGCGTCACTTCCGGTAAGGGGGAGAGGGGAGGGGGCGGGACCGGAAGCTGGGCTAAACCCGGAAGTGGCTGCGATCACGTGCTTGTTTCTTTTTTCCCGCCACCAGCGCTGCCCCGCGATTGGCCGGAGGAGGGGGCGGGGCCAACGGCGCCCCCTGCAGGTGAGGGCGGTCCCACCCCTCCACTTCCGGTTCGCGACACTTCCGGTTTCCCCTCACACTTCCGGTTTCCCAGCAGCCTTCGCGCCTCCCACGTGGGCCCTGGCGGCCGCGGTTGGCCCCGCCCTCGCCGCCATCTTGGGGGCGGTGCTCTGGTGCCGCCGACGTCACTTCCGGGAGGCGGGGCCGGAAGTGACGGCACCGAAAGAGAGCGGGGGAGGGGGCGGCAACGAGTACGGACCGGAACCGGAAGTGGGTGAGCGCGCGGGAAGGCAAAGGGGGGGTGGAGGAGGAAGGGGCGGGGCTTCCGGAAACCCCGCCCACCGCCCGCTCTCTCCCATTGGCTGCCGCTCAGGTTCGTTCGACCAATCAGAAGCCGAGGTTGATTGGGGCGGCTACGAGGAGGTAAAAGGGGGCGGGGCTTAAAAGGGGGGGTGGGGCAGGGCTTGACCCCACGTGACCCCGCTTGGCCCCGCCCCTTCCAGGTGCCGCCCCCTGCCCCCCGCGTGACCCCGGAGGGGGAGCTCGTGTGAAAGAGGGGGGGGGGGGAGGGGCCTCGCGTTGGCCCCGCCCCCTCCCTGAATAAACCCCGCCCCCTTCGTGAAGCCGGACCAATGGGGAGCGAGGTCTTTATTGGGGGGGGGGTGGGGTGGGTGTGGCCCCAGAGCGCCCCCTGGCGGCGCGGAGGTCACTGCTCCCCCTGCCACCAATGGTAGAGCTGGTCCGTGAGGATCCCGGTGTAGGTCAGCATGGCCGCCGCGCCCTGCTCGTACACGGCGCTGTGGGGCAGACCCATAGCGGGGGGTTAGGGGGTGCTATGGGGCAGACCCATAGGGAGGGGTTATGGGGCGCTATGGGGCAGACCCATAGCGGGGGGTTAGGGGGTGCTATGGGGCAGACCCATAGCGGGGGGTTAGGGGGTGATGGGGGGAGTTAGGGGGTGATGGGGGGTTAGGGGGAGGGGTTAGGGGGTGATGGGGGGCAGACCCATAGCGGGGGGGGTTAGGGGGTGCTGTGGGGCAGACCCATAGCGGGGGGGTTAGGGGGTGCTGTGGGGCAGACCCATAGCGGGGGGGTTAGGGGGTGCTGGGGGGCAGACCCATAGGGAGGGGTTATGGGGCGCTATGGGGCAGACCCATAGGGTGGGGTTATGGGGCGCTATGGGGCAGACCCATAGGGTGGGGTTATGGGGCGCAAATGGGCACAGACCCATAGGGTGGGGTTATGGGGCGCTATGGGGCAGACCCATAGGGAGGGGTTATGGGGCGCTATGGGGCAGACCCATAGGGTGGGGTTATGGGGCGCTGGGGCTATGCTATGGGGCAGACCCATAGCGGGGGGGTTAGGGGGTGCTGGGGGGCAGACCCATAGCTGGGGGGTTATGGGGCGCTATGGGGCAGACCCATAGGGAGGGGTTATGGGGCGCTATGGGGCAGACCCATAGGGAGGGGTTATGGGGCGCTATGGGGCAGACCCATAGGGTGGGGTTATGGGGCGCTATGGGGCAGACCCATAGGGAGGGGTTATGGGGCGCTATGGGGCAGACCCATAGGGTGGGGTTAGGGGGCGCCTCCCCCCCCCCTTACCGGATCTTGCTGTGGGTCCGGGGCAGGTCCAGGTGCTCCAGGAGGTTCCCGGTCACGGAGCCCAAATACTCGCGGAGGTGGGGGAGGGGCAGGAGGGGGGAGGGGGGAGGACGGGTGGGGGGTGGGGGAGGGGCGGCGGAGGACGCTGTGGGGGGGAGGGGGGGAGAGAGAGGGTGAGATGGGGGCTATGGGGCTCTATGGGTCCCTGTGGGTCTCTATGGGGTTTCTATGGGGTTTCTATGGGCCTCTATGGGGTCCCGATGGGTCTCTATTGGGTCCCTATGGGGTCTCTGTGGCGCTCTATGGGGTCCCTATGGGGCCGCTATGGGGTTTCTATGGGTCCCAATGGCTCTCTATGGGATCTCTGTGGGTCCCAATGGGTTTCTATGGGGTCTCTATTGGTTTCCAATGGGTCTCTATGGGGTCTCTATGGGGCTGTATGGGGTTTCTATGGGTCCAAATGGGTCCCTATGGGTTCTCTGTGGGGCCTCTATTGGTCCCAGTGGGTCCCTATGGGGTCTCTATTGGGTCCCAATGGCTCTCTATGCGGCTGTATGGGGTCTCTATGGGTCCCAATGGGTCCTTATAGGTTCTCAATGGGTCTCTATGGGTCTCTATGGGTCCCGATGGGTTCTCTATGGGGTTTCTATGGGTTTCTATGGGTCCCTATGGGTCCCTATGGGGTCTCTATGAGGTCCCAATGGCTCTCTATGGGGCTGTATGGGGTTTCTATGGGTCCCAATGGGTCCCTATAGGTTCTCAATGGGTCTCTATGGGGTTTCTATGGGTCCCGATGGGTTCTCTATGGGTCTCTATGGGTCTCTATGGGTCCCTATGGGTCTCTATGGGTTCTCTATGGGTCTCTATGGGTCCCTATGGGTCTCTATGGGTCTCTATGGGTCTCTATGGGTCCCAATGGGTCCCAATGGGGCCCTCACTGGAGCTCAGCAGCAGCAGCAGCGACACCACAACCATGGGGGGGGGCAGCGGGGCCATGGCGAGGCCTGGGGAGAGCCCGGGAACACCTGAAACGGCCCCAAAACACCCAAAAACGGCTCAAAACCACCCAAAAACACCCAAAAATGGCTAAAAAACACCCAAAAACGGCTCAAAACCACCCAGAAACACCCAAAAACGGCTCAAAACCACCCAAAAACGGCTCAAAACCACCCAAAAACACGAAAAATGGCTAAAAACCGCCCCAAAACGGCCCCAAAACACCCAAAAACGGCTCAAAAACACCCAAAAACACCCAAAAATGGCTCAAAACCACCCAAAAACACCAAAAAATGGCTAAAAACCACCCAAAAACGGCTCAAAACCACCCAGAAACACCCAAAAACGGCTCAAAACCACCCAAAAACGGCTCAAAAACACCCAGAAACACCCAAAAATGGCTAAAAACCACCCCAAAACGGCCCCAAAACACCCCAAAACGGCTCAAAAACAGCCAGAAACACCCAAAAATGGCTAAAAACCACACCAAAACGGCCCCAAAACACACAAAAACGGCTCAAAACCACCCAGAAACACCCAAAACCGGCTCAAAACCACCCAAAAACACCCAAAAATGGCTAAAAACCACCCCAAAACGGCCCCAAAACACCCAAAAACGGCTCAGAAACACCCAGAAACACCCAAAAATGGCTAAAAACCACCCCAAAATGGCCCCAAAACACCCAAAAACGGCTCAAAACCACCCCAAAATGGCCCCAAAACACCCAAAAACGGCTCAAAACCACCCAAAACCAGCACCAAACACCAAACCAGCCCCAAAACTGCCTCAAACCAGCCCCAAACTCCCCCAAATCACCCCAAAATTCCCCAAAATCACCCCAAAATTCCCCAAAACCACCCAAAACCACGAAAATCACCCCAAAATTCCCCAAAACCACCCAAAACCAGCCCCAAACCCCCCAAAACCACGAAAATCACCCCAAAATTCCCCCAAATCACCCCAAAATTCCCCAAAATCACCCCAAAACCCCAAAATCACCCCAAAATTCCCCAAAATCACCCCAAAACCCCAAAATCACCCCAAAATTCCCCAAACTCACCCCAAAATTCCCTCAACCACCCCAAAACCACCCCCACCCCCCAAAAACCCCCAAACCCCCCCAAAACCCCCAAACTGCCCCAAACGCCCCCTCCCCCCGCCCCTCCCCCACCTCCGCGCCGCGCTCTCCGCGCCCCTCCCCCACCCGCGGCGCCCCCGGGTATGGGCGCGGGGGAGGGGGCGGGGCCGGGGGGAGGGGGCAAAGTCCGGGGCAACGGGAGGGGGAGGGGGAGGGGAGGGGGTGGGGGTGGGGTGAAAAAAGGGGATTTTGGGTCCGGGGTGGTTTTGGGGTGAAAAAGGGGGATTTTGGGAAATTTTGGGGTGAAAAAAGGGAAATTTTGGGGTGAAAAAAGGGGATTTTGGGTCCGGGGTGGTTTGGGGTCAAAAAGGGGAATTTTGGGGTGAAAAAAGGGGGATTTGGGTTATGAGAGTGGGTTTAAGGTAAAAAAAAGGGATTTTGGGGTCCAAGGGTTCATTTGGGGGGGAAAAAAGGGGATTTGGGGTCTAGGGGGGGTTGTGGGGTGAAAAAAGGGGATTTTGGGTGGGTTTGGGGTGAAAAGGGGGGATTTTGGGTCTCGGGGTGGTTTTGGGGTGAAAAAAGGGGATTTTGGGTGGAAAAAAGGGGATTTTGGGTGGTCTTGGGGGGAATTTGGGTCTCGGGGTGGTTTTGGGGTGAAAAACGGGGATTTTGGGTAGGTTTGGGGTGAAAAGGGGGGATTTGGGGTCTAGGGTGGTTTTGGGGTGAAAAAAGGGGATTTTGGGCTGCCCACTGCTGACTTTTGGGGCTCAGGGCCTTGATTTTGGCCATTTCCACCCCAAAAAAACCCCATTTCTAGTGGTTTTCACCCCAAAATGCCCATTTTGAAGGTTTCTCACCCAAAACTCCCATTTCTGAGGTTCTCCAGCCCAGTTTTGATGGTTTTCACCCCAAAATCCCCATTTTGAAGGTTTTTCACCCAAAACCGCCATTTTTGATGTGTCCCATCCCATTTTTGATGGTTTTCACCCCAAAATCCCCCTTTTTAAGGGTTTTCACCCAAAAAGCCCCATTTTTGAGGTTCTTCACCCCCAACCCCCCATTTTTCAGGTTTTTCACCCCAAAATTCCCAGTTTTGATGTTTTTCCCCCAAAACCCCCCTTTTCAACGTTTTTCAGCCAAAAAACCACCATTTTTGACATTTTTCACCCCATTTTATTGTTCTCCGCCACCATTTCGCACATTTTTCACCCCAAAATGCTCCATTTTTGATTCCATCTCCAAAACCCCCATTTTTCTCCCCAAAAACACCATTTTGGCCATTTTTCACCCCAAAAACCTCCATTTTTGATGGCCTTCACCCCCAAAACCGCATTTTTTACCCCAAAACCCCATTTTAGCCATTTTTCACCCCAAAAAAACCTTTTCCACCCAGTTTTTCACCCAAAAAAACCGTTTTTCACCCCCAAACCCCATTTTGCCCATTTTTCACTCCAAAACCTCATTTTGTCTCTTTTTCACCCCATTTTTCACACCAAAAAAACACATTTTTGGCCATTTTTCACCCCAAAACCCCATTTTTCACCCAAAAAACCCCTTTTTCACCCCATTTTTCACACAAAGAAACCCCATTTTTGGCCATTTTTCACCCCAAAACCCCATTTTGCCCATTTTTCACTCCAAAACCTCCTTTTGTCTCTTTTTCACCCCATTTTTCACACCAAAAACCCCATTTTTGGCCATTTTTCACCCCAAAAAACCTTTTTCCACCCCATTTTTCACCGCAAAACCCCATTTTGCCCATTTTTTACTCCAAAACCTCATTTTGTCTCTTTTTCACCCCATTTTTCACCCCAAAAACCCCCATTTTTGGCCATTTTTCACCCCAAAACCCCATTTTTCACCCAAAAACCCCTTTTTCACCCCATTTTTTACCCCAAACCCCCAATTTTGCCCGTTTTTCACCCAA